GCATAGTCTTTATGGAACCAAGAAGGTATCTACTTTTGTATGATTGTATCATAGTTACTTTACTTACATAGGAGAAGACTAGAGAGAGAGTATATCAAGTATAAACCTCTTGCAAGGATAGCGTTTGCGGTTGAGAACGGTTTGCGACAAGCGTTTCCGTTTTAGTATAAGGAAACCAGCGGCTGCAGCAAACGCAAACGCCCCTTGCTTTGCTTTTTTGGTTATTTGGTTGTGTGCTTAAGATCAATTACAAAGTATCATTGATTTGATTAGTGTTTGGATTTTTGATAATAATAAGATTTCAAGTTTTCGAATTTTGATTACATTCTTTATCTTTCAGAAAATGAATGTATGATTGTTAATTTGTTACAGATAAATTATGAAAATGTGACAAAACTCCGGAAAATACTTTTCACTCAAAAGTGGGCTTTTTCAATAAAGCTCTTTTCTTTACTTTGTGCCACACACTCTCTGCTTGCAATGTCGCTACTGTTAGGGTTGATGGGTTTGGTGGACGAGTGAGTGAAGTTGGAATTAGTGAGACGGAGATGCTGGAGAAGGAAATTCCGACAATTTCTGAGACCGATTTGGTCGGAAAGGACTGATCTTTTCCATTTCGTAGCTCTCTCCACAATGGAGACGAAGCAGAGTCTCTCGTACCTTACTCGCTTAAAAGGGTCAGAATTTTCTCTCTATCTCTACACTTTTGGTGTTTTGTTAACAAAAATCTGAGTATTGAGTGATGAAGAATCGTCATGAACACAAAAGTATGTTCCGGGTTTTGTTCAGAGTAAGACGAATTGAAAATATTTTGACCAAAAAATAAGGTTACGTATTTTTTCTAGTAACGTATTTTGACCAAAAATAAAGTAACGCTTTGTTTGTGTCTTTTAGTGATTAACGAGATATTCATTGTAGTTCTTGTGTCTTTGCTCCATTTTGGATTCTTCTGTTAAATTGTTTTCTTTTGATATGTTCACCGCTTTTAATCACCTTTCCTTCTCCATTTAACAATAACTCTTCCCTTCTTCACATTTAGTTCTTGGTTTGGGATTGGATTTGCATCTAGTCTGTGAGTTACTACGATTTGCTGTATGTTGTTCAATTTACAAGTTTCTATGTGATTGTTGTGATCAATATACATGTATCAATAGTATTGTTTTGTGGTTGTCAAAGAAGAGTATGCTTAGAGAAGCTAAAACAGAGAGGAATGTATGGTCATTTCCTCACTACATGTGAACAACTATCCTACAAATAGATAGAAACAAGCGGCCGGGTTCTTTAGTTTATAAAAAATGTCTAGATAAGTATCATTCCTTGATAGACTCAAAGATCACTGTTACACTTTTCTTATTCAAGTCTTTGTCCGTTTACTCAAACTCTTACTACCATCAATTAGCATATATACCTCTCCTTTTTATAAGTATTTGCTCACTCTTTTCCATGTTTTTCTATTTATCTGTCTGCAGAGGATACAAGAGTGAAGTCAGGTGAAAAAAAGAGAGAGTGAATTTTGATAGGGAAGTTTATTACAACTGAAGCTATGTTGGAAATGGGTTCGGTTCTGGTATGGTTCCCTTTGATAGTCTTTGGATTCTTTGTTCTGAAATGGTTATTGGAGAGAGTGAATGTTTGGATGTATGAATCCAAACTTGGGGAGATCAAACATTATCTGCCACCAGGAGATTTGGGATGGCCTTTCATAGGCAACATGTGGTCCTTTCTTAGAGCTTTCAAAACATCTGATCCTGATTCTTTTGTTCGAACCTACATCACAAGGTATATATATACCGCTCTTTCTCCTCGAATGATCTTACAATAGTGCTCAGTTTTTTGCAAAACTTTGATTGCTTTAGTTGAGAAAAAATTTGATAGTTAGGTTCATGATTGGAAAAGTTGAGAATTTTGTTTGTTTCCTCAATGACGTAGGTATGGGCGTAATGGTGTTTATAGAGCACACATGTTTGGGAACCCAAGTGTAATAGTAACAACACCAGAGACTTGTCGGCGAGTTCTAACTGATGATGATTCCTTCCAGACAGGCTGGCCAAAATCTACCATGGAACTCATTGGTAGGAAGTCGTTTATCGGTATCTCCTATGAAGAACACAAACGGCTCAGGCGTTTGACTTCTGCTCCTGTCAATGGCCCTGAAGCTCTCTCTGCCTACATACCGTACATTGAAGAAGCTGTTATTACTGCTCTAGAAAAGTGGTCCAAAATGGGAGAAATCGAGTTCTTGAGTCATGTGCGGAAGCTTACGTTTAGGATCATTATGTACATATTTCTCAGTACTGAGAGTGAGAACGTCATGGATGCATTGGAAAAAGAATATACCAACCTTAACTATGGAGTTAGATCAATGGCTATTAATCTTCCTGGGTTTGCTTATCATAAAGCACTGAAGGTAACACATATTTTCTTTTTCCACTTTGTTTCCTCTCTTGTGCATATCACTGGAGATTTGAGGATTAGAATTTTGTATTTACACAGGCAAGGAAAAAACTTGTAGCTGCCTTTCAGTCCATTGTGACTAACCGAAGAAATCAAAAGAAGGAGAATATTTCATCCAATAAAGAAGACATGCTGGATAATCTAATAGAAGCTAAAGATGAAAATGAAAGAACTTTAGAGGACGAGGAAATTATCGACGTGATGTTGATGTATCTTAATGCGGGTCATGAATCCTCTGGACACACCATTATGTGGGCTACCATTTTCCTTCAGGAACACCCTGAGATTCTACAAAAGGCAAAGGTAACATAGAAGATATTATTAATATTTCTTGTCTCTTTTCCCTGATGTACCTTGAGTTGTGATATTTCGTTGTACCATAGGAAGAACAAGAGTGGATTGCGAAAAAGAAAGTGCCGGGCCAGAAATGTTTAACTCTTAAAGAAACACGAGAAATGGAGTATCTTTCTCAGGTCAAGTTTTGTGCCTCATTGTACATATGTAATTAGTGTTGATGTGTACAATTCTTTCACTGATAGAAAGAGGTTTTTACCAGGTTATTGATGAGACACTTCGAGTAATAACATTCTCTCTTACTGCCTTCCGTGAGGCAAAAAGTGATGTCCACATGAACGGTCAGTATACACATTCCCTCCGTGAATCATCTTCTAACTTTCATATTTTAATTTCTCATGTTTTGTATTCAGGCTATATCATACCAAAAGGCTGGAAAGTTCTGACTTGGTTTAGGGACGTTCATTTGGACCCTGAGATCTATCCGGATCCAAAGAAATTTGATCCTTCTAGATGGGAGGTGTGTAGAGATTACTACTTATCATGTTCTACCTTTAAACTTTCTTTTTGGTGCTGCAATGTCTTACATGTCAAGAGTAACCTTAACATTGTCTACAGGGATACACACCAAAAGCAGGCACATTCCTTCCTTTTGGTTTAGGAAGCCGTCTATGTCCAGGAAACGACCTCGCCAAGCTTGAGATTTCCATCTTTCTTCACCATTTCCTCCTCAAGTACCGGTAATTCCCTCTCTTTCTCTCTGTCTCTTTGTGCATATAGTTTGCAGATTCACAATGTTTTTGTTTCCAATGGTGAAATCGTAGAGTGGAACGGAGTAATCCTGCTTGTCCGGTGATGTTCTTGCCTCATACCAGACCCAAAGATAATTGCTTGGCAAGAATCACCAAAACGACTTCATAATCATCTTCAAACTAGTAGACCCCTTACCATATATATATAAGCTTCTTCTCAGGTTTCCATTGTCTCTCCTCTTCTCTTAGAAAACTCAATCTAAACAAGTTCGGTTTTAATTCGGTTTAGTAGCAAAACTATATGTGTATCCATAGTTTGAAGGATTCCAAATGTAATAATGCTGACAACTTTCTTTTGGTTTAGTTTCTAATTTGGTTACAATTTATTGCCTGAAAGAAATAGGAGAAATTTAGTTTGATGACCACATCAAATTTATTGGTATGGGTTTTTATTAGTTTGGTTTTGATTAAAGTGACTTAAAACATCAATAATTTTCACATTTAATATCAAATAAATGCATCATTTTTTTTCTCTCTTCTCACTAATTCTCTAACTGTTACTATCAAACATCTAATTGACTTTCAAATAACAAAATGGAAAAAACCCTTTCAACTACATTTAATTGTGTTGGTACTATTGACTTTTGAATTATTATTTTATAGTTGTACTTACTTTTCTCGAATTAAAATTAGAAACCAAATACTATATTATTATTATGTTTTTTAAAATAAAACCAATTAAGCCCACACAGCAGAGTACAACACCGTTATCTCCTGTCCACTATCTGAGTTTTTACACAGAGACAGCTCGGAGTTTTTGTACCCTTTGATTTCTTCCTTCATTTCTCTTAAATTTAGCAACTTTATCAAAAACAGAGGATTCAATTCAATCGTTTTCATCACCAAGCTCCTTCCTGCAACAAAGCTCTGAAATTTGATCCTTAATTACTGTCTTTAATCTTTGCTTCTTTCCATTTCCTGTTTGAGAAAAAGTTTGGAC